CTGCGCGCCGACGCCATCGACTGGCCCGTCGCCGCCTCCGCCTTCTCGAGCTCATTCGGCTCCGATCCCGACGATGACCTCATCCGAGACGCCGACGAAAGCGGAATCCCGCGGCGATCGCTCTTCTGGCACCGGCGAAATCTGGCCGACTACTACATCTCTTACGGTGCCCTATCGGCGAATCGCGTCCCGTGCCCGCCGCGCTCCGGCCGATCCTACTACACCCACAACTGCCACCGTGCGAGAGGTCCCGTTTACCCTTACTCTCGCGGATGCAACTCCATTACGCTTTGTCGCAGGTGATTCCATAACTCTCGGTCTGTATTTTTGGTCCGATTTGGTGGTGTTTAGATTTCTGTTGGGAATGTGGGTTGTGTAGAAGAATCTGTGTGTGTTGATTTGGGAACTCGGGGGTGGTAGGATTGGATGCTTGTGGGGTGAAAGCTTGTGTGTTGTCTTCTTATTGGAATGTGTTGACTGTTCAGTTCTTCTTCTATTTATGGTTTGATAAATTAGTGAACAAAATGGAAATTAAAACTCTGTTAGTTTCTTTTTATTTCAGCTAATCAAACAGTTGGTTTTGTAATGTAATGCATTTTCTTCTATAAAAGGGATTTTGGAGTTTGTTGTTGATGATGATTTTGTAATTGAGTTATTATTGCAATGTACTTATTAAATCATTAATAAATTATTGCATAAATACCTAAATAATAGTTATTACATGTAAAGGTCCCAAAAAATTAAAATTACAGATGAAGGACGTCGTGGCTTCCGGACGTGGTAGGAGCTCGAAACCCATGCCTACATTCTACGAGGGAAGAGGAAGGATGGCACAAAGAGGCTTACCTTCCACTTTGATTTCTGTTAGGAACCGAGCGAAAGGATGAGAAAGATGAGAGTTTTGGTGGTCTCTTTAAGTCGCGATCACCTACATCCTACCAGTGAAGAGGAAGAATGGCGCAAACATGCTTACCTTCCTAAATGATTTCTGGTAGGAGCCGAGCGGAAGGTTGAGAAAAATAGGAGATTCGCTGGTCTCTGTAAGTCGTGATACTGTGATGTGGTCTCTGTAAGTTGTGATCATGTCATTCATTTCCCGGTTCTCTAATGGCGACTGTATCGTGATGGGCTGAGAAGGGAGATTTGGGTGAAATTCGGAGGGTTGAGGATGTTGGCGAGGGTTTGGGGCTCCTACCACACGAAAAATTATTTCATACGGATCGGATGCGACCTGATTTACGGTCCGGATACATTTCGGTGAGCTCTATCTAAATTTTTTTTCTCTTAAAAAAAAACGGAAATAATTCTGACCGTGGATCACCGTGATCTACGCTTAGAATCGGACACTACCCAATAATTTCTCCCTACCACAGAGAGGGTGAGGCAGAGGATATAGGCGAGAATTTCAGGCTCATAGAATTCTTATATATTTAACACTTAAAAGTTCATATCTATATTTATAATATTTTGATCTCATAAAATTATCCATAAATATATATTTCATTTTTTTTTTAAATAGTTAAAAATTAAAGTGTTTGTATGTAATATGAAAGTTTAACTTCATATTACTATACCGCCCCCCCCCCCCCAATTAAGTGCGGTCGGCTGCATGCAATTCCTTTTCTCCATTGTGTCCTATTGAGTGGTCATATTGTCATTTAATTTTAATAGATTAAGATCATTTTTTATACAACATTATTTTTTTTTTAAGTTTATCTCTACATTTCTTAATGTAAATTGAAGGTATAGCTCTTACATATGTAAATACATAAGAATTATGTGGTATGAACGTAAATGTCTCTCTTCAAAGTTATTGTGATGTTCTATTTACGGCTACTAGCAATTACCCCTCAAATAAGCTATAGAATTACTGTGGAAAATATAAAAGAATAATTTTCTTATAATTATCATATTTAAATAAATTTTGATCTAAAAAGTTCATTTTTCCAACAAAAAATAAATAAATATTAAATAAGAAAGTTATCATCAAAATATAGTCTCAATGGATTAAATTTCAAGAATTTATTTTTAGATTAAAAAACATTTAAAAATTATATTATTTTTTTATTGATCCTAATTATTCGTTATATTTATTATTTTATTATAAGACTAATTTAAATTAAAAATATTCACTCTTTTATAATAAATAAATCAGCTCGCGTTACAAGCTCTTTATATTTATTTTTTGAAATGCTCTCCCTTTTCTAATATTTTGACTTATTAATTCATGGAGATCGACAGATTCGCTCATCCTCATTTCAACGTTATTAATATTTTCTACTTGTAATTACGACCAATTTTCTGCTGCAATATCTTTCAAATCTCAACAATATCTTTCAAATTCATTTCTTATAAAAATAAATAAATAAATAAATAATCAAATAAAGTTTTTTCCTTTATTAAATCATAAACATAAACATCTCCTTCAATTTTCAAATCCGACAGATCCAGCTGCCATCACAGGCCATCACAGAAACATACGCTCTTCCCCATAATTATAGCAAAAAAACAAAATAGAAACCCCGAATTGCTTCTTTTCCCGATCAAAATTCAATCAAATGAACAAGAAACTAATCAATCCGGCAAGAGTTCTTTAGCGAAACCGGTTTGTTCAGCTTGCTCTGATCCATCACCACGTCGCACTCAATCCTAGTATAGAATTTGGGCTTCACAAATCTCCCAAGAACATAAGCCCTAGATCTCACTCTGAAACTCAGCTTC